TCAGCAGGACACAGGACAGAAGTCTCAGCAAAACCCCTGCTTACCAGGAAATGCTGTTATGTATTTTTCCTTTGGGGAATAAACAAAAGACACCAGTCATTTCTCCTTTCCCCTCAACTTCTTGACCAAGGTCAGAAGAACACAGCCCCAAACTGTTTCTGACTCCCCTAAAAGGCCTGGGAAACTCAGGCAGGGTTACCCAAAGCCAAGTCTCTATTAGAAAGTTTTGCTGGTATAACTAGATGGGGCAGGAATGTGAAAGATCACAGGGCCTAGCTGGCAAAGTTCTTCTGGCAACCTCTCCCTCCCCCAACCTGGACACACCTATGCCAATAGAAAAGGGCTTCTGCTGACTTAGCTTAGGCCTACTTTACACTGTAGTTTGCTGGCCCAACAGCTGTGGCACTCCAAGCTCTTCTGTGCAATCAGAGTAAGGCTCCTGCTGCTATCCAGCAGCTGCTTTAAAATGCCCATAGACCAGTGGCTCAACCCTTTTAGACTCCAGGCACCTGTCATGAGACTGGATGCATGCCTCAGGCAACGTAAGCTCTTAGTTTGCGCTACAGAAAAATGAGAGAGCATTCTTCTATTGCAAAGACCTCTGAAAGCCACAGCCAGTCAGAACAATTTTGACACTACAGATTCCTATTTGAAATCTCTGGTGTATCTTGTGAACCATGCTTGCACACCCAAGAAGGCTGACCCTGCCTGGAGTCCCACAGCACCTGGGGTCTTGACAAAAATCTCAAGGCATCTCTGGGAGCTGCAGCAGCCTGGCTGAGAATCGCCAGTGCAGGTGCTCCCCTGCCTTCCGCTGCAGCCTTCACCTGGGGCACGCTGGCAGCATGGGTGGCTGCTGGGTGAAGGCAGAAAGGCCTGGGCCTTTAAGTGCTGGCGGTGGCTGCGACAGCAAGGGCCAGCAAACGCAGGCAAGGCCCGGACGCCGTGTGGGAGGCTGAGAGAAACCTCCCCCACCAGCGCAGCGCGGAACAAGCCCCGAGCCCGCGGTTCTTTGCTTGTTAAACTGCGACTGGTGAAGCCGCACCCCGCCCCAGCTGGGCGCCCACGCGGGGCCTCCGCGGGCCC